CATCTCTGCAATAAATAAAAAAAAATCAGCCGGGTGTGGTAGCGCATGCCTGTAATTCCAGCTACTTGGAAGGCTGAGGCGGAAGGATCGCCAGAGCCCAACAGGTCGAGGCTGCAGTGGTCAGGAGTGGCCACTGCACTCCAGTCTAGGCGACTGAGTGAGACTCCAACTCAAAAACAAAACAAAACAAAACAATACTTCAGTGCTCAAACTAGAGAGCTCTTCCAGAAGAGCTCTAGATTTAGACGTGTACTTAGCACATCATTACCCTTCCAGGTGATACCTTATTAAAAGGCCTGAAAGTAAATATTTTAGGCTTTGCAGACCATACTGTCTCTTGTGACTACTCAACTCTGCTATTATAGCACAAAAGCAGCCATAGACAGTATAAGATTCTTAATGAGCATGGCTGTGCGCCAATAAAACTTCCATTTGCTAAAGCAGATAAGCTTTTGTACACCAAGGAGACTCAAGGAAGTGAAAAGACATTCCACAGAATGGGAAAAAAATATCTGCAAATCATGTATCTGACAGGAGACTTGTATCCAGAATGTGTAAATAAAATTCTTACAACTCAATAAAAAGAACCCGGCCAGGCACGTTGTCTCAAGCCTGTAATCCCAGCACTTTGGGAGGTTGAGGTGAGGGGATTGCCTGAGCCCATGGGTTCGAGAACAGCCTGGGCACCTTGGTGAGACCTCATCTCTACAATAAAAAAATTAGTCAGGCATGGTAGCGCACACCTGTAGTTCCAGCTACTTGGAAGACGGGCGGAAGGATTGCCTGAGCCCAGCGGGTAGACGCTGGGGTGGCTGTGAGCGGGCGTGTCACTGCACTTCATCCTCCTAGGCGATGGAGTAAGAATCCAACTCAGAGAACAAAACCGAAACATAAAATGGGCAACTAGCCAGGCTTGGTGGCTCAGCCTGTAATCCCGCGCCTTTGGGAGGCTGAAGTGAGTGAATTGCCTGAGCCCGCGGGTTCGGGACCTGCCTGGGCAACTTGGCGAGACCTCATCTCTACAATAAATCAGAAATTAGCCGGGCATGGTAGCACACGCCTGTACTTCCAGCTACTTGGAAGGCTTGAGGCGGATGATCGCCGGAGCCCAGCAGGTCGAGGTCCAGTCTGGGCGACAGAGTGAGACTCCAACTCAAAAACAAAACAAAACAAAAAAATGCTCAACTAATGGGATCAGTGATGTCAGATGCAAAATGCCAGGCCTATAGTACCAACATGAAGGAGGCCACGAATTCCATTTCAAGGCATCTCTGAGCCCAAGGAGCAGACACCATGAACAAAGTTCAGCCTCTCAAGTTGAAAAAATTAATGGGCAAGAAGTTATTGAAATTAAATGATGGCAGACATGTCTAAGGAATGCTGTGGGATTTGACCTCTTTGTGAATCTTGTGATAGATTCATGTGTAGAGATGGCAGCTAGCGGACAGCAGAGCAATAATGACATGGTAATACGGGGAAATGGTAGCTTCGTGTTAGAAGCTTTGGAACAAGTATAAATGGGTTTTAAGTAGAAAAGTCTGTCCTCTAAAGGGCTTGTTTTACTGTGATGTAAAGATCAGGTCATGTACATTTGTATTAAACTTTTTGTTAAATAAACTTCTGTAATGGTCAAGAAAAAGGGGCAAATGATTTGAATAGATATTTCTCCAAAGAAAATATGCAAATGTCTAATAAGCACATGAAAAGGTGCTCAGTGTTATTAATTATTAGGGAAATACAACTCGAAACCACAAGATACCACTTTATACCTGCTGGGGTGGCTATAATACAAGGCCAGCTGGGCATAGTGGCTCACATTACTTTGGAAGGCAGAGGTGAGAGGATTGCCTGAGTTCAGGCATTCGAGATCAGCCTGGGCAACATGGTGATACCTCGTCTCTACAATAAATCAAAAAAATTAGCTGGGCATGGTGGCGTGTACTTGTAGTTCCAGCTACTTGGAAGACAAGTGAAAGGACCACTTGAGCCCATTAGGTCGAGGTTGCAGTGGCCATGAGCGTGCTACTACATTCCAGCTTGGGCAAGAGTGAAACTGACTCAAAAAAAAAAAATTGGGAAACGCATCTCAAAACCACAAGATACCATTTTATACCCACTAGGGTAACCACCCTAATAAAAAAAAAAAGCCAGGCACAGTGGCTCATGTCTGTAATTCCAGCACTTTGAGAGGCCATGGCGGGAGGCTCACTTGAGACCAAGAGTTAAAGACCACCTAGGCAACAAAGCAAGACCCTCCCTCTAAGAAATAAAATAACAAGTATCAGTGAGAATGTGGAGAAATTAGAACTCTCATACGCTGCTTGTGGGTGTTTTAAAATGGTTTAGCCACCATGGAAACAGTCTGACAGTGTCTCACAAAGTTACTATATGATCTAGCAATTCCACTTCCAGGTATACAGAAATAAAAACAAAAATGTTGTCAATGTCCTTTTTTTTTTTTTTTTGAGTCAGTCTCTGTTGCCCAGGCTGGAGTGTAGTGGCATGCTCACAACCACTGCAACCTCGACCTGCTAGGTTCAGGCAATCCTTTCACTTCAGCCTTCTAAGTAGCTGGAACTACAGGCTGTGCCACTACGCCAAGCTACTTTTTTTGATATATTGTAGAGATGAGGTCTCGCCATGTTGCCCAGGCTGGTCTCAAACCCGTGGGCTCAGGCAATCCTCTCTCCTCTGCCTCACGAAGTGCTGGAGAGCCACTGTTCCTGGCTCAAAAACTATAAATGTTCATAGCAACATTACGGTAGCCAAAAGTTGGAAACAGCACAAATGTTCATCAACTGAAGATGGATAAAAATGTAAATAAAAAAGTACAATGAAATATTACTCAGCCATAAAAAGGAATAAAGTACTGATAACATGCAAAAACATAGATGAAACTTGACAGTGCTAAGGGAAAGAAGCCAGACACAAAAGGCAACATACTCTATAATTCTATTTATATAAAATGTACAGAATAGGTAAATCTCTCATGCCTATAATCCCAGTACTTTGGGAGGCAGAAGCAAGAGGATTTCCTGAGACCAGGGGTTCAAGACCAGCCTGGCAGCTTGGTGAGACCTCATCTCTACAATAAATCAAAAAAATTAGTTGGGCATAGGGGTGCATGCCTGTAGTTCCAGCTACTTGGAAGGCTGAAGCAGAAGGATCATCTGAGCCTTGCAAGTCAAGGCTGTGGTGGCTGTGAGTGTGCCACAACACTCCAGCTAGGGTGACTGAAACTCCAACTCAAAAAAATAAAGTCTGGATGCAGTGACTTATACCTATAATCCCAGCACTTTGGGAGACCAAGGCAGAAGTTTGAGACCAGTCTAGGCAACATAGCAAGACCCTGTCTGCAAAAGTCGGGTATGGTGATGTGTGCTGTAGTCCCAGTAACTCAGGAGGCTGAAGTGGGAGGATCACTTGAGCCTATGAGTTCAAGGCTGCAGTGAACTATGATTGCACCACTGTACTCCAGCCTAGTGCCAGAGCGAGACCCTGTCTCTTTTTTTTTTTTTAAAAAGGCAATGGTCCAGGTTTGATCTGTGAGCCATAGATTGGCAACTCTAGGTATGGGACAAGTGAGGAATTCCGAGAGCTCCAAGTCATAATTTATTAAAGGATTCACATCCCCCCTTGCCTGTTTGGTTTCTACCCAAATGAACCCTCTTAAATGATATTACTCCCATAATTTTACTGTTTACTTTTTTTAAAATTTAATCTTAAAATAAGAGACGAGTTCTCGCGGCATTGCCCCGGCTGGTCTTGAGTTCCTGGCCTCGAGAGTCCTCTCACCTTGGTCTTACAAAGTGCTGGGTGGAAGCCACTGTGCCCAGCCTGACTCCCCTAATTTAAATTTAAAATCAGTTTCCACAGATGTTTCTCGCCCACAACACACTCCATTACCTCTATGGCATCCAGAGTGTCATTCAGTTGTTTTCTTTCATTCTGTTTGTGGTCCATCTCTGGCCCCTCATAGAAGACTCCAAAATTGAGGTACACTTGCACAGAACCAAAGTGATTCAGCTGATTTTTTACACAAAGTTGATAAAAACCTGTAGGAATTCCTAGATCATTACTAAGTCTTTGGTTCCCCACCCTCTGTTAAGTTTTCCCTAGAGATACCTGTTCTTCAGTTTTATAATTGCTACAATAGCATCTTTTAACCTAGAAAGTACAAAGATCACATTTTTGAAATAGAAGACACTGACCTTATGTGAAGCTTATTTTACTAAATATTATACTGCCAAATTTCAGAACCTTTGTTCATTCCATACTGGGTAGAAAACAATGTTTTCTTTCTTTCTTCCAACCTATAATTCCCACATCTATTAAGAAACTCTGGCCTAGCCGGGCTCGGTGGCTCAGCCTGTAATCCCGCGCCTTTGGGAGACTGAAGTGAGTGGATTGCCTGAGCCCGCGGGTTCGAGACCCGCCTGGGCAGCGAGACCTCATCTCTACAATAAATCAAAAAATTAGCCGGGCGTGGTAGCGCGCGCCTGTAATTCCAGCTACTCGGAAGGCCGAGGCAGAAGGATCGCCGGAGCCCAGTAGGTCGAGGTTGCGGTGGCCAGGAGTGGCCAGTGCACTCCAGTCTGGGCGACAGAGTGAGACTCCAACTCAAAAAAAAAAAAAAAAAGAAACTCTGGCTTAACAGACTGAGCTGAAATTAATGGTGTTTGCCTGCTCCTTATTACCATTAAGGGCTGGGGACACCATCTTGAACTTGAAACTAGGAAAAAAGTTGATGCATCATGAACAAAAGAGACTATACTGCTGCAGTAATTGCCTGCAAAGAAGTCTGTGCAGTGACTGATGGTTTAGGATATCTGCTAGTGCTGGTTCTCAACTGAAGTTGCCTCTCTTTGTGTGTGACATGGGTGGAGGAGCAGGAAAGTGGGATTATGAAAGGTGTTGTAGCGGCTCATGCCTGTAATCCCTGCACTTAGGGAGGCCAGATGAGAGGATTGCCTGAACCCAGAGGTTCGGGACCAACCTGGGCAACTTGGTGAGACCTCGTCTCTACAATAAATAAAAATTAGCTGGGCGCGGTGTTGCACACCTGTAGTTCCAGGTACTTGACAGGCTGAGGCAGAAGGATCCCTGAGCCCAGCAGATCGAGGGTGTGGTGGCATTGAGCATGCCACTGTATTCTTGCCTGGGCAACTGAGTGAGACTCTGACTAAAAAAAAAAAAAAAAAAAAAGTGCTGCAGCTTTTGAATGTCAAAATGAGTGTAAGGTACTACTGGCGTGTAGGGCAAATGTGTTAAATATATATTAATCCTGAATAAATGTCCTGTGCTACACAGTGAAGAATTATCTAATATCTCTGTTGAAAAAGTTGAGAAAATTTTTATGTACAACTGCCTAGTAAAGAGGGCAGTGAAGACTGGTATTTTTCAAAGTAGGCTGGGCTTGATCTAGCTGTAGGAATTTTCTGGCTGGAAAAGTGCTTTGAGTATGGCTATCTCACATGGCCATGCATTTTCTTTTGCCCTAAATCTATTTTAGCAACTGTCTCAAGTATTCTAATGACTAGAAATAAATACTCTTGCAATAAATTTATTAGTTGGAATTCTGTATTATAAAATGTGTTTCTGTTTTGGTTGATTTCCCAGAATCTGATCAGCTGGAGATGATAAGGTAAAATTGAGAGACTGTAACAGTCACCTGGAGACCTTGCCCCCAGACTGCTGTGGGACTGCCACTTGACGTCATTGGATGTCAGCAGTCTCCAGGACCACTTGTGGCTTTTGGCATTTTTTTTTTTTTTTTTTTTTTTTCGGAGTCTCACTCTGTCGCCCAGACG